ATGCATAAGACAAAATATTTGCGTCTCATAGGCTATGGATATTGTAATATCTTAATCTATACGTAGGTACATACCTGTGATATGGTACTGGACCGACACACCATGAGAATACTACATGGGTATTAAATGTGTTAGTAGTATTCCCATTCGAGCATTTGTATAACTATCTTTAGACTTGAGGTTATTATGATCTTTAATATGTTGACCTATATATATGTTGACCTATATGCTTTGATTTATATCTAATACTTTGACCTAATGTTTTACTTCAATATCTTCTCCAAAAATTTGTAAGATTTCTATGATTGCAATATATATTTATTTGTTTAAAGTTCAAAGCATGAACTTCTAAATTCTTTCGGAGTTAGAAGTTGGTATAATTAATTTTGCATCTTAATGTTTTGATTACTTTTAAAAGAACTATAAGCTAAAATTGATATAATCATAAAATAGAATATTTTTTAAATATACTACCAGTCTTCGTTACTTTTTTAACTAGGACTGAAGATTTTCAGGTGGACATAGATATATATTGAGTAATATTTTTGAACTATTAAATTGGGTATTTATACAATTAAATAATTATGATTGTCGTTGTGATCAACTAATTACCCTAAACTTATCATTAATGGGATAAAATTGGAGTAATTACCATTTAGGAGGATTGCGAGATCGTCTTTAAATAACTTTTTTTTGTAACCCCACACAATCTATATATTAGAAAAGACAGTCTACCTTTTATGAAAATATTAGAAAATTAATTTACCATTTCTCCCCCTAATCCTCCATCATTAAGAACTCTTTGTGTTATTTGAAACTCTATCTTTTTACAATTTTTTATTTTATCTTCAAAATCAAAAAGATAAAAAAAATATTTTACAACTTGTTTTGTAGACTTATGTTTTTATTAAATCAACTCACGTCACTTACATAGGTTTTTTTTATTAGTTATTATTTTATTCATTATTTACTACATATCACCCGAACAGAATAGATTAAGGATTGATCTTCTATCCACGTTTTATAATACTTTTTATTTCGGTCTGGTCCAATACATACCTGATTATCATTAGGTCCAGACCAAAGGACAAATTATACCCATTATTGCCATTAATCCCTTATCCGGAGAAAAATGATGGGCCCCATCGCCGAGCCCCCCCTCACACCTGACAAGACAATCACTGAGATGAGTTAATTTAAACTTTAATCACAGATTGATAACAGATTGTAGAGTCTTCGTTTAGCACTTACCGAGAATCAAAGTCGGGTCTACTCCTTAGCACCCCCTACCTTTTCCAATTTTGCAAATTGCAACACTCACTTGCCACTATTGGAGTTATCTCTCTTTATCATCGAAAACATTATCCCCAATACATCAAAACTCAATGGACAACTCTATCCCCCAACCCCCACTCTACATCATCTTCCCCACATAGGTGCAGCAAAAACAATACAATTTTTACATTCAAATTGCAAAAAACAGTAATCTTAATTCAATTTTAATTCATGAATCACACTCATGAGCCTAAGTTGAACTAATTCCTTTACTATTTGACCAATTTAATTTTACTCAACTGCCTACTATTAAACGAGTTTTCCCCATACAAGTCATGTGGCCAAATGCCTCATTTGACTTCACGGAGTTTTAAAAGGTTTTGAAAAATAAAAGGGCTTAAAGTTTGTTTTGAAAAAAAGGAAAAATTACCTAAAATAATCTCAACTTTACCTGGTCTTTCAAAAATAATCTCACCTTTCACTGTGATGCATAATAATCCCAACTTTATTGAAATTTGCCAATTTTGGGTCGCCGTTAAATTTCTAACGGAGGGTTAACGGAAATGCCCGTTAAGAAAAATGAGACAACTAAGGCCATGTTCCCTACTTCCCTTCACCTGATCTGATAAGAATAAGTTCTGATCTGATATGGTCTGGTCTTGTCTGATCTGAATGTAGTTACCCGTAGTTTATTTAAAGATATTTCTTGATCTCATTCCAATAAGAATAAATAATAAGTAAAAAATAAATTGAGGAGAACATGACTTAATTCACGGAGTAGAATACTAAACTTTTCAAGAATACAAATTTACAATACGTAATAACTTGTACTCCCTCCGTGCCTAAATAGATTACAATTTATTTTCTCTCTCCTCGATAATTTTTGTTTGTTTACGCGATTTTATTAAGTATTTGATAAAATAAAATATTCTTGTCACCTTTTGTTTTGTAGAACTTTTGACGTAGTTTTTTAATATGTAATTTTTATATATAATTGATATACCAATTTGTAAATAAAATAATTTCATAAAGTAAGAAATTTTACTCCGTAACCCGCAATTTTTAATCAAATTGGAGACGGAGGGAGTATATCTTCAACAAACATTCTAAAGAACCATAACCAGAGTGGCATTCCACAATATGACAACAAAAAAGAACTTACCATCAGAGCATCTTCATTCCTTAATTAAAAATTCAGTCATCCAATCATTCTATCTTCATTCCTTAATTAAAAATTCAGTCATCCAATTATTCTCTCTCATCCACATCATCATCATATCACCTATCGTTAAATAAAAATAAATTTTTCCAAAAAAATTAGAAAAATACTTATTGTTAAATAATAAAAGACATTGCATTAATAGATATACAACCACCACGCTAAAATTTAATCAATTATTCTTGCTTTAGTTTGTCCAAATATGTTTAGATATAACTGTTATATTAGTTGAAATTAATTAGTATTATAATAATTGTTTTTGTTATAGTTAAATAGTGATTATATTTATTATAATTTATAATAATAATTAAATTAGTGATAAAATTTAAATCATTGATTATATCCATTTTATTAATTATTTTTTGTAATATAAATATTTATATAATTTAAAAATATGAAATCAAATAAATGGATGATTTTTATTATTGTATAAATATTGTTATAATTGAAAAAAGTTTTACTTCCGTTTTGGCTTGTTCAAAAGAAAAAAAAATTAGGTGTTTTTTTTTACAATTTGGGGTGATACTATTTGTCATCATGGATGATGTTTAAATGTTTAAATATTTTACTCTCCCTCCATCCAACACACTTTTCACATTAGTTTAAATATATTAGCATGCATTCATTCAAAATGTTAAATGGTGATTGAATGGAACCAATGGAGGTGCTCTCATCGGTGTAATCCCAATTTTATTGATATCTCGGAGGCTAAAATATACATAGACTTAAGACTTGATTGGAAATAGCGTTAGAGATTAGTGTTAGCGTTTTGAATAAAATTTTAATGGTGCAGATTACTTTGAAATCGCTAACACTAAACACTGCCCGTAGATCGCCTTTGGAAAACGTTAGCGCTAATCTCTAACGTTATTTCCAAACATGCATTTCGTCTTATAAAAATAAAATTTGTTTTCATATAAAATAGACACAATCTTCCCATTAGATAAAAAGAAAAATTATCTTAAATAATCTTACATTTTCACGCTTTTTTAAAAATAATCTCACTTTTCATTGTCATCGAAAAAAAATGTCACATTTCTGCATGTGTGCGAGTTTTGATCGCTGTTAAGAAGTCAACTATCACTTAACGAAATTTTTGGAAAATGCGTATTTTTGCAAATAAATGAAAGGTGTGATTATTTTATGCAATTTTACTTTTTTCTTTTTTATTTTAAATTTAAAATTTATGTTTTTAAAATATAACAGTACACTCTTGTTAGATATGTTTCTCAATTTAATAAAAAATAAAACGATTTACAAATTTTGTATTTTGGTTTAGGAGAAATATAAAGTTATAATGTTAGATTATCGTAAAATAATTCAGAGTATTGCTCGAGAAAGAAATTACAATACAAAAAAGTTGTAGTGAGTTATAAAATAAATTAGTGTCATTTTGAAGAAAAAACATATTATGCCCTTTTTACAACTTTTGAATTGTTATTTTAGGGAAAAATATTTGTAGTAAACTAGTAATTATTGGGGGGAAAATCACATGTTTTGTAGTTCCGTTTTAGAAAAAACAATACGGGTAATACAAGATTTTGAATAAACATTTGGAGTCTTTTTCATTAAAAAAATTGTAATACAACAATGTAGTGATTTATAAATATAAAAATTTGATTTCATAGAAAAATTATTATGTTATTTTCACAACTGTTATAATGTTGTTTTACATAAAAAAAAACATTTATGCAAAATGATCAAAAAATATTTACAAATTTTGTAGTGCCATTTTTAAAAAAATAGTATTAGTAAAGTATCAAAAAACAATTCAAAGTACCACTCAAAAAAATAATTATAACTTACAAAAAAATAGATTGAGTTATGAAGTAAATCAATAGTTTCATTTTGTAGGATAATTTATTGTGCAATTTCATAACTTTTGGAATATTATTTTAGAAAAAAAATTATTATCTGATTACGGATTATTAAAAAAATAATTAGTTTCACTCTTAAAAGAGCACTTAAATTTAGTACTACTATTATTTGTAAAAACATTTAAAAAATACATTCAAATTTAAAGTTAGAAATTAAAAAAGAGAAAAATTACCTAAAATAATTTCACATTTCATTTATTTGCAAAAAACAAGCACTTTCTAAAAATTTGTTAAGTAACCATTAGCATTCTAACGGCGACTCAAAATTTGCACCCATAAAAAAGAGAAAAATTACCTAAAATAATCTCACATTTCATTTATTTGCAAAAAACAAGCACTTTCTAAAAATTTGTTAAGTAACCGTTAGCATTCTAACGACTCAAAATTTGCACACATGAAAAATGAGATTATTTTCCGTGACAATGAAAAAATAAAATTATTTTTGGAAGAGCATGAAAAGGTAGAATGATTTGGAATAATTTTTCCTAGATAAAATACATTGTTGTATTTACTACCCAAAGCTTAATATAAAAAGTACTCCGTACTATGAAATAGAGAAAGTATATACGGAGTAGTTTTTTTTAAGGATAAACGGAGTAGTTCTTATCATCTTATGTAACAAAAACTGCGGAGTATAAAAAACATTATTCCACCCATCATATCAGTTAAATACACATGCGGGAATATTTAAAACTTAACCCTATAATAGCAGTATAATACATCATCACATGGAGAGATGATAGCACACTGTACCTGAAAAAAAATTAAAAGATCATCGAGTTTGCATTTGTTGTTTGTTGGCTAAACATTTTTCTCGCCCGTGTGTGAAACATTACAAATACTTGACCATTCCGCGGCCCTCCACGCTGACTTTTGAAGCTTGGAGAGACTTCTTTTTAGGTGCTTTTAGTTGTTGTAATTTTTTATTCATCTGCATACATACATCATACATGCATTAGTTGTTGCATACATTGTCCTACATCATACATGCAAACATACACAGTCACGTAATATTTCCATTCATCTTGTTCTAGCATTAGTACCAATGTGTGGTGTGTAATCTTAAATCCACTTGAGAGAGAATATAATACTCAAAGCCTCAAAGCATAGCCAGCCAATTGAAAGAGAAACTCAGAATTAATATCTCGAAATATAAAATATCACCAAGGGCGAACCTTGAGGCGACGCTGGTCATGCACTATTTGTTTTGCCCTGGCCCTAACTTCCTCTGGATCAACCTTTGATTGAGGCCGAACAACAAAATCCATCAGCATAGCTTCAGGCCGTGAAGTAAGTTGCCTGGATTTGGATGACTGACCAGACTTCACCCCCCTGCAAAATTTTCATTAAGATTCAATTATATATCATGGAGAAACTGGGAACGTGGGCTAAGTAATGAGGCATGTCGCATGTGCTTCTCAGAATCCAAGAGGTATATTCATGAGGTTTTACTGTGAGAACTCAGCCAAGTCAAGGTCATCATCCCTAGATTGCATTCCAGAAGCTTTGTTAATTGGCCTATCATCATGTAAATGATAAAATAAGTCATCAATGGGATCAGAGACATCTAAATCTCACAAAAAGGAGAAGAATCCAATGAGTTGTTAGATACTTTTTCACAGGTGGCCTCCTATAAGCTGCCCTCTCTTCTTGAAAGTTCTTCATGTCCTCAAACCTCGTACTCTTGTTGAAAATGGGTCGACTCTGAACCAATTGAGTTTGAGTGCAAGGCAGCAAATTAAAAAAACATATTTTGACCCATAAAACAATTGTTGCTTAAGTGTAAATCCCGCCAGAGCCTCTAAGGTCTGTGCATAGACTAATAGCACACATAGTTTTACCAATATTAGCTGCAATAAGGATGACATCCATTCCAGACAATTAGAATTTGAAAAGATGACTTAGAAACTTGGAACAATCAGAAATTTTACCTTACCAATAGTTGATAGATCTATGAGCATTTTATTCAAATTAACACTTAATACACAAGAAAAATAAAATAATAGAAAATCAGATCAACCTTATGTTTGGAACACAAAATACTCAGGAGAGAATATTAAGGAATTTAGGAAGGAAAGAAAGTGTGAGGAAAGAAACCATGTTTCCGAACAAAAACAAATTATTTGTTCAACCTCATTTTATTTATGTAATTCTATAACATAATGAATAAGAAAACATATATAAAATTTTCAAAAAATTAATCCTATTCCATTGCATTGTATTTTTCCCTTTCCCTAGCATTTTCTGGAACTCAAACACAGCCTTAATACACATAAAAAAATAATATAAATCAAAATTACCCATTTATCAACCAAGTCCTTTGCAAGTTTCCGATTAGCCGTGGTCTCTTCATCCGACTTCGAAAGAAACATGATTACCTGCCATTGAGTGGATATTATAAAGAAATTTTGTAAAGGGTGGCAGTCAAAATACATGTAATAGCATGATCTTCTTATGTTTGACTCACCTTTCCAAGACCACTCTGTTTCAGCTGCTCCCTTCTATCATACTGTTCTAAATCAATTGGATACTGCAGTATGTAACAAAACATTTCCAGTTTAAAGAGTTATAACAAAGCATAAAAAATAAACTCACATGAAACTTCACAGTCCATACATCGGTTAAGATTTTTAAGATTGCTGCACGAATATTTATGTTGGGCAGGCTTCCATCTGGAAGGGGCTCAAGCCAAGTCCTTAAGAGCGTCAACACTCCATGGTCTAAAAATTCTTGTTGAAGTTGTTTCCTGAAAAATAGTGGAGAAAGATACGCCACTGGAAACTTACAATCAAGCAAATTATGAAAAGTGAATTCCATATATTTCAAAAAATCTGAAATGCACTCACTTTGACAGGGCATCAGTAAGAAGAGGCAGCTTTTTAAGTTTAATGATAGCAGGTTTAGAATGTCTGTTCAACTCAGCATCTTCTTCTGCAACAACTTCTAGTTCAGCCATTACATTTTCAACTAATAATGAAATTTCATGAGCACTCTTTTCATTTTTCTTCTTTTTCTTTCCCATCTTGAATAGTTGCTTTATTTCATCATCCTCTTCACCTTCTTCTGCCTAGCAATAACAAAACACGAATGGCAAAAAAAATGACTAGTACCTGTACCACCACATAGCTTTATAGGCAGTGCAAAGCAAAAAACTCCACAACTACCACATGTCCACATGGATAGAGGACAGGAAACTCAGAAATGAAAAATAACACAGTAATGTATAAATTTTCACGTGGGTAAAACATTAAATAACCCCTTTAATTTTTCTCGTCAACAATGCTGATACATTTTGATGGTATTTTAGTTAATTCATATAATTTGTTTACTAAATATGAAAAGTGGACAACTGATTCTGGGCAGACAAAAGCAGGAAAAAGGACAACTATATCCGGACAAAGGGAGTATAAAATTGCTCTTCCTCTTTGGGAAAATTAGGAGAGTAAAATTGCGGGTTGGGATTTATTGAAGGAAAGATTTGTAATCAACCACAATTCTTTCTTAAAAGGAAAACGAAAGGAATTTATGAGATGGCTGGAAAAGGAAAGTGTGTAGGACATTTAGAGCCAAGTAGTAACCAGTAAACTCTTAAGCAAAGGAAAAGAAAGAAAATCCATAAACTTAGTATTCTCACCTGTGGATAACTTCCAGGAGATTGGGGTTCATGATCACTTCCATACCTATCAGCAGGATCCACACCACTATCATCTATGAAGTTGTCATCATCCATTGTCTTGGCACCATCTCGGTCATCCTACAGCCCTCAAAAACAAATAAAATAATTGTGTGCCTTCATGTCAACATAAAATGAAATAAAACAAAGTGCACTATCAATTTGTTCAGTGGGAAACTCATGTTCTCTTTACAAGAACATCAACACCTTGAGAAGCGTTTTAGCTTTGAGTTGAAATAAGGACATAGCTGGATAGCCCAAATCAGGCTAGAAAATGTACTTCCCTGTGGCTATAAAATCAGGCCACCCTCCTCGTATAATATGATGAATTGAAAAAGAAACTAAGTTAATACTCTTTAAGTGTTTTCTACGAGTAAGAATGATGCTTGTTCAAACAATTTCCTAATGAAATATCTCTTAAGTTGGCTACTTTTGAGTGCGTGTTAGGAGTCTAATCTTATACATTAGTAGTGATTATTAACGTGTGAGTGAAGATCACAAGCCCCAAATTAAGATAAGAGTGCATCATATCTTTCCACACCGACTCGGATAATTCCTCCCACTTTAATTCTCCCATTTCGAATTGTCCTCCATATTCTCTCCTAAATCTCTTTTTTTCCTCATAAAAATAACCAAAAAGAACTCCTCAAACATATCTCCCTATTCTCCCAAATTTCTTCCTCCCCATATGTTGCCCATAATCCCCCATTTTCTTATCTACTTGATAAGACCCCGGATTTAGGTATAATCCTAACACAATACAAAAAGTACTAAAGAAGAGAATGTTTAGAATAACTACAAACCAGAGTCAGTATTGAACTCAAATAAAATCAACAACAATAACAACCCAGTTCGATCCCACAAGACTAGGGTCAAGAGTAGGGTTTGGGAGGGTGTGTGTATGCAAACCTTACCCCTACTTGAAAGTAGAGAAACTGTTTCCAAAAGAATCCAGCTCAAGTAACACATGCAACATATTGAGCATCGAATATAATGTAAAAACTACACAAACACACATATATGTATCTGTATATATACTTCTTTCGTTCTAAAGTAGATGTAGAACTTAGACTAATACACTATTTATGCATTGTCACTAGATCATCTTTTGTGATCTAGAAAAATAGTTATGTGCGATCTTATTAGAGTCATCTCAAATATAAACTTTCATAATATCAATTATATCAATTTTAAGTAAAACCTAAATGAAAATATTGAACTTTCATAATATCAACTTTTTATCCTTTTAAGTAAAACCTAAATGGAAATGTTGATGATTGGATTTGTGCATTGGCAGGTGTAAAGTTCCAAGTGTCACAGCTATTTTGGAACAAAGGAAGTCTATCTCGAGATAAAACATATCAATCATACATTCCAAAACTTCATGCTTTCAAAGAAATGTGGGTTGAGCAAATTGGTGTTGCTAGGCCTACTAGAATCCAAAACGGGTGCTGTTTAGTGGTTCTAGTACAACTCTCAAGCTCTCAATGTAACTCATTGGGGATGGCATTCGCTCAAATGCGAGCAATTTGACTTTGGATCAGGGTATGGTTTTTTAATGCAACAGCACAAGAGGGTTCTAACGATCATAAAATAATTGCCTCAACACATCTTCTCTTATCAACGAATGTTAATATCAACAAGAATGCACTTCCATTATAGAGTTCTGCTAATAACAATCCTAATGGTGTCAACAACCCTAATGTTAAAAGCAATGAAATGACATTGGCGGAGATGTGAGCAATTTGGTTTCGGATAGGAGTCTAAAAGGTGTTTTAACACAGTGGCACAATTTAGAAACCCTTTAGTTCAGGTTCAGGCAAGGCAACAAGGGCTAGAACTCACAATTATCCTAAAATATTTATCTCAACAAAGCTTATCTTACTCTAGTATTTATTTATTTATTTGATTTAAAGTTGGCATTTTCTTAAACAAATGTTTTTGTAAGTCAAAGTTAAACTCTTATTTGAATCTTGATTTATTAAAGTGAACTCAAGGATTTTCAGAATTTTGTGGTTTCCCACATTAGGAGTTTTTGCAAATTCATTGTAATTTGTAATTATGATTGTTTTACACTTCATTCGGTTAAAGAAAAATGAATCTCAACATGATGATGTTGACAATGCTAATGTTAAAAAGTTAATAATAATCCTTTAGAATGTGTTACACCTTACACTTCACACATAAATGTTTTTATGACTCAAGTTAAACTCTTATATGAATCTTGATTTTTTTAAAAGTGAGTTTAAGGCTTTTTTAGATTTTTTATTTCTCATATAAGGACTTTTTGTGAGTTCGTTGTAGTTTATTATTATGATTGTTTTGCACCTCCGTTGTAGAATTCCAAGAAAACGTTGGAGAAAAATGGGGCTACCACGAGAACTTGGAAATTTAAATGTAATTTTTTGAAAAAATAAATGTACGAAATCATTGATGAGATGAATAATCAAAATGTGACCTAAATGATCACTAACAATGCAGATACTTTTAAAGGGGCAAAGCAAGTAGAGAATGTATCCTCACAATTATTAGACACCATGTGTAGTCCATACTCTAAACCTTTCCTTGTGTAATTGAATCACAAAAATTTCATGTGGATGTTATTTATATCAACAATTTCATCATGAGCCACAACATGAAATTCACAATCTTCAATTGCCAAAGTTTTCTTTAATTACTTCCAATCATTGATAATTTGATACTCCATATGCATCAATTGCCTAGGTTTTGTAAGCTTAACGAACCGGGCTTCTAAGCAATGGTCTCATGCAAATACTGGATTTCCTATAATAAGGTTTACAAGGGAGCGAGAAGCTTTGTGGAGGAAAATATTTGAAATGATGAATGGTGAGAAAAAGTGGATTATATTATTTATTTATAAGATCTATTTATAAAATTATCAGGGTCTGGGGTACCAATATATAATGCTTGGATGGAGGGTTGTTAAGATCACGAGTCGGATCGTAACACTGTACGCTTGTCTGATCAGTGTAGGGATATCAATCCGGATCACTGCTATGATCAGAAACTTCTAGAATTGGTTGGGATCGAGGATGGCATAGGATCGTCACGGTGATTCAATCTGGAAAGAGAAAAGAGTCGACCAAAAAAGAAAGAAAAAATTGCAACTGTTGAATCGATTTGTTTCCAAAAAAAACTCTCTGCTATTGTTTTTCTCTCTTTCCTAGTCTGCGTATGGGCAGTGGCCTTTCTTTCCCTTTCTCAGATCCAATTCTTCCCTTTCTCAGATCCAATTCTTAGGCCTCTTTCCCAAGCCAGAGATGTGTGACCAATAAAAAAGAATTCAATCTCTCGGTTTCTCATCCTTAACGCCCTTAAGTCTTTTAAAGTTGTATTTATTTGGATGACATGCCCTTATATCTATTTCTATCTATTAGGATATTATGATTTATGACTTCTTCAATTTTTAATTATGTACATGTTATAAATTTTAAACATTACTACTGTAGGATCTTACAATTTGAGTTACAATCCATGGTTTACAATCCTCTACCCCCCCCCCCCCCAAAACTTTTAAGACGTAGGTTCTTCCAACCAAAAGCTTTTAACATGTTTATTCAACATTCTACATCATCTAATTGTGAACAAATATGAAGTACATACTCTTTACTCGTTCACTAAGGATGAATAAGTTAGGTCCAAGTAACATGTCAAAAGGATTTGTTTCTCATCCACAACAACCTTTGTCTTTTATCAAAGAATTCTACTGAATATGAAGATGTAAAGAGAAATGTGGGATGTTTGTGGAGATGCATATTAATTTTTGATGATGCAAGACTATTAGCAAGAATTTTAGGGGGGTGTATTGCATTAGGAGTCTGTAGGATTTTTTTAGATTTTTAAAATCTGAGTGTACTCAATGTGGATTTTTAAAAGTTTTTAAAAATCTTGAGATATTCAATAGAGATTTTTCGAAGTCTTTGAAAATATTGAAGTATTTCACTTGGATTCTCAAGAGTCTTTAAAAATGTTGAGGTATTCAAGAGTCTATGAATTTTAGTACTCTATGGATTTTGTTGGGTTTTCTCTCAAAAAATGCTTCACGTTCCACTCCTGGAAATTGCTTCTCACAACCCTAGATTTCTATGGACTTCTTCCCCGCTTATATCCTTAAACCGCATCTGATAATGTAAACAAAAGAAAAAAGGGACAAAAGCCGAAGACTTTTTCTTGTTTATTGCCTCTTTTTAGAGTTCTGAACTTTTTCAAGGTCATCATCAATGGCTTCCAATGGTTGCAATGTTGCATGCGGCTGTTTCTGCTCTGCCTTTTTTTGTTCTTGGGCTTTTTTTCTGCTGCAGATCCGACTGTCTTTTGACTACGAAGGTTCTTACATTAGTGCTACTCTTGGCGTGGAGCAATAGGAGCAACATTACTGTTGCAAAATCTACATATTTTCAAACTCTATATACATTCTACAAATTTTTCTAACTCTATATGCATTCTACAAAAAATCAACCAAACTCTAAATGGATTCTACAAAAAAACAACCAAACTCTACATGGATCCTACGAATTTTTCAAATCCACTAACTTTTTAAAATCTAAAAAAATATTATAAAATCCTAAGTGAATACACCCCCCTTAGATTTTTCTTTTAACTTTCACTTGATGAGCTATCATTCGGGAATACATTAAACTCTCCAATGGGGTTGCCAAGAGTGATGTTCAATATTGTGTGTTGTTCTAAATACTGAGTTGTTTTTATATTTTCAATCACTTTATATCTTGAAATATGAAGTTTTTATAGCATTCTGGTTTAAATACCATTGGGTTTGCTAATAAACTTTAGAATTTTGCATTTAAGTTAATATTTTTAGTTTTGAGTTGTACCTTAGTTATACCTGTATCTTAAAACTTTAATGTTTTACTTTTTCCATAATATCCCCATCTTTGTGTTACCCAGCCTGTTTAAACATATAAAACAGTAAAATATGAACAAATAAATTCAACAAAAATGGTTTCACACATACTCAGCAGTAGTTAATGAACAAGCAATAGATCCACAAACCTCAGAATCACCACCAGCAACAGTGTCCCACAGCTCCTTGAGCTCTTGATCACCCTCTTTTCCCCTCTTGTGTGCACTTGGGATCCCTCCACTCTTTGATTTAAACTTTTTACCACCTTTTTCCCTTTTCTCCACCAGATTCTTTTCTTTCCTTTTCCCCCCACCATTATCATCAATGTGCTTCCTCTTCCCCATGCCAGAGTAGGATGATTCGGGTCCATCAGAATCATCCCTTACCATCTCTGGGTTGCTATCATCATAAGCACCGCCATAAACGTCTTCATCCGCAAGCCCATGATCTGGAACAATCTCTTTCCCATCAGACTTTTTAATCAACCGCTTTCGGGACTTTGATTTGTAATCATTGTCATAAACCAGAGTTTGTGATTGTTCACTCTCCCTCTGGTCCCATCCATCATCCTCAAGATTGTCAGAAAGGTTGTTTTCCTGGGTCTCCTGATCAGACTGGACATCGTCATCAAAATCCACTAACGGCTCTCCGTCCTCGTCTCTATACCTACAAGATCAAATATCCACCAAATGCTTATTCTAGCAAGCAACATCGCATGACAAGTAGAGACGTATACAAATTGAATCAAAAAAAATATCAACGTATTCAATTCATATTCAATTGGTGTATCATATATTTGAATTTGTATTTGTATTTTATTCAAATTTAAAAATTATTCATATTTGATTGGATCATATATTTGAATATTCATATTTGAAAATAGTTATATTGAATTTTTTTTAGTTGTTTCACAAATTATGGTATACAAGTACTAAAAAATTAACATAAAACATGCAAACCTATACTAGTGTTTCCAAACTATAAAAAAGAGTATCAAGGTACTGTAAGTCTCAAAATTACACCAATCAAAAGCATTAATACTAAAATAAAAGTGCATGGTCACAATAAAACACAAACAAAAAGAGAATTTCAACCCCATGCTCTTCATCTCTTAAACTCTGAGTATTACTTCAACCACAGCTTTCTCAACCTACAAAATAATAGTTATAAAATAATTACAAGGCATTACATTGTAATTTTTTTCTCATCAGAACTATGAACTGTGAGAATAACTTACATGATTACCCAAAGATTTATAAACAAATGTAAATCAAAAAGTTTTCTAGCAAAAAACAAATGAAGTTACAATGAAAATTTAGTTTGATGTATGATATATCAATGCAAGAACGGATTTAGATTTGTGTCCCTGATCTCAACAAGTAAAAATACCATAAGAGCGCACTGTCTTTTAGGGAATACAATCAATTCAGATGCTGAAAAACAGTGTGTTATTCTTTGCATCCACGCTGCTACCGAAAGAAAAGAATATGAGGTTGTACTTTTTGTTTTCAAAATGCTCTTTCTCTAACCAATTTGAGGAGTGATAAAAGAATAAGAAAAATAAGAGCTAACATCAATTTCATCCGAACAACTAGTTTGGTAAGGGTTATTTGGTTGATATAATATAATCTGGCTGAACTCTCTTAAGGGGATGGAAGTTTGCTAACATCAATTTCAGACAAATTAGTTGCTCTGCTATACTCTACTGATAGCAGAATAAGCCACTTTTGCTTAGGTTGGCTGAAATAGGTTTACCATTTTACAATATGTATTAGAATTCTAATTTGTGAAAGTGACTCCAATTTTTACACGGCAGGACCCCAATCAATTCGGTGTTTATTAACATCTGTGCAATTAACTTTTCCTAAAATCCAGTATTAAAAATGACTCTTTTATTAAAGAGAGAGAGTCATTGCATAACAACAGCTTAAGTTGTGATTCACTCCTTGTGGATCTTGAATCTTTATATGTAGAAACTGGGTCGTAATAAACGAATATTTTATATAAATCAATCATACCTGAACCTGAAAAGAGAGTGGAAACTGAAAGCGCGGTTGAAGATTGAGGGCCGGTTTCCAGGAAAGCCCTTGAGAACGACGATGGAGAGCGGAGACTGAGAGCCAGGGACGTGAGATTTGATATACGAGAAGATGAAGATGGAAACTTACACGCGAGACGAGACGGTGATGCACAAAAATCAAGATTAGTTAAAAGAAAAATTAAAGAACTATTTCAAAAATCTAGAATTTAAAAAGTCATTTAAATCATTTTATAAAAAGTGTCATTTAAAATCTGAGTGTATTCAATTCAAACTTTAAAAAATATAGATTTTCAATGATTTTAAAAATGTGGATTTAGATGGATATTCCGTATAAATCCCCCGACTCCTATTCTCTTCTTCCGGGCAGGAACTCTGGTTCTTCCTGTTCTTCATCTTCTACAGCTTCATCTCCCTCAATCCTTCACTCCATCTTCAAGGTAAGGTATTCTCTATTATTTAACTTCTTTTTCTCTTTGTTTATCAATAATTTGTTCAAATCAAGGTAAACTCTAACATGATTTTGGAGTTTTTACCGAATTTTTTTGTGAATTTTAAACCCTAATTTCCGACCCAAAGTGAACGCTTCTACTTTCTTCAAGGAAAGTATGATTCCTCCACGAAAAAAGATATGGTTATGGAGTCATCTCACTTTCTACTCTAAAATAGTTAAAAATTCCGAGAACCCAAACCCTCCTATTGAGCATCCAAAGTGGAGAGCTTTTTCTTGGATTTTGTTTTCCCAATCTGTTTTGGTATGCACTTGATTTATTTTATTTGTTAACTTCATACAAATAAATTAAATTAAAAATAGTTTTTAAAAAAATAAAAAGTGAAAAGAGAAAAAAAATGAAAGAAAGATTCTTTTTCAAACAAGGAGTGCACACAGTAACATTTAACATCTTGCGGCATATTAATTGGGGAGTAATATGTTTATGGTTTTGTTGGATTCTCCAAAAGTTATTGCCTTCTCATTGTGCTTGTTTGCACTTCACATAAAGCTCAAGTCATGTGTTAATTCTAAGTTCTTCTTTTAAGAAGTTATAGCCCCATGGATTCACTTTGTCATACTGATTTGAGATCATGAATGTGATGTTCAGAAGGTATGGGTTTAGGCAAAATAAGTCATATTGTTCCTGTGGTCTATTTATATTCTATAATTTTATCTCCACTGCACCAACCATTTCCCCCTTTAGGCATAATTGGTCATTTTTTCCTTCAAAAAACCTTAAAAAGGTTTGCAAGTTCTCTGTGAGAGCAAGTGGGCCAAAATATTCTTTGTAGCTTTTTTACCCTAAAAAGGTCTGCAAGACAATGATTCATTTGTTCAATTTTAGGGACAAGGATACTTTCCCTCTTCTTTTGGTCTTTTGATGAGTTGTCATATTTATGGTCTTTTGGTCTTATGGGTTGTCACATTTATGGTTTGTACTAGCCTTGCTTTGTCTTTGTGTAGGATTTAAGCCATTCTAGCTAGTCTCTGTATGTAGCTTTTCATGAGGGCTTTGGTTTGGTCCTCCCATTTGTACTCTTTTTTCTCTTTTCATTAGTTTATAAAACTTTGTTTATTATTATTATTATTATTATTATTATTATTATTATTATTATTATTATTATTATTATTATTAGTATAGAAGAAAAAATAAAAAATGATAGTAAAAATACTTGTGTGGATAAAGTGTTCTCTTGGTTGAGATTTTAGAATACTATTAGTTTATTAAGTTGTTTTAAAATATATTGGGTTTAAATTGTTGATAATTACTTGTTGGTGTATATTGAGCTTTATAATAAGAATAAGAATAAGAATAATAATAATAATAATAATAATAATAATGTTTTAAAAATAATTTATTTTTATTTTATAATGTTATTTTTAGAATTTTTGTCAATTTCATAAGTAATAATCAATGCTAGGACAATGTATAGATTTTTAAAATAACTCAAATGTATATATAAATAATCCATTGATAATAAACAATCTATCACAATCTTATAAAATCCTGCTAACGAAATACATTAAAATCTATCTAACTCTGCATAGATTTTAAATAATCCAATGACTTTACAGAATTCATGGATTTAAGATAATCTGTCAGAATCTTTAAAAATCTGGATTGAATACACCCCCCTAAGATAAGTATCTATCTTCTCGGGAAGAATTCCCAGAAGATAATCCAGAGGATTTGGGGTAAATTTCAATAATGGTATTTGAACTTTCATTAAAATTTTGAAGTGGTACCAACTTCAAATCATTTCATTAAAATTCCATTTACCCGTTTCCAAGTTAACTTCCGATCATTTGGGCTAAATTAGAATTTTATATATTTTAAAATTTTTAATTTAACCCCATTTCTTTTTTTCTTCTTCTTCCTCCTCCCACTCCCTTCTTTTTCTTCTTCTTTCACCCTTTTCTTCTTCTCCTTCTTTCACCCAGAGGATTTGGGGTAAATTTCAATAATGGTATTTTAATTTTAAAATATTAAGATTCAATTATTCTTCTCTCCCATATTAATTTTATAAAATATTAATAGAAATCACCCTAAATAGGACTAAAACATAGAGAAAAGTACCAAAATAAGACTTTCATGTTTTTTCCCCGAAATAGGACTTTGCACTGTGGTTATGTAATTTTACACTATGGTAATGTGGTAGTTAACATGTGCACATTACTGTACTTTTTTGGTAATGTATATGACTATGTTTGGTAATGTGAGTCCTATTTCGGAAATAAAAATATGGAAGTTCTATTTTGGTATATTTTTAATATTTTAGTCCTACTTTGGTTTCTCCCAAATATTAAAATGTTAGTGCTCCAATGGTTTTGTCGGGATAGTACTTTGGTCAAGATATAACATGTTTTATCAAAATACAAATAGTTACAAATTGGAAATTATATTTTTTCTTTGATGTGGTTGTAACATGTAACTTAGTCTCGAACTTATTAGTCATTGCACATTGAATTTTCTGCACAATTTTTCTTATTTTTTTTATTATTCTAGATTTTCATTGTCACAAATCTTCTTACGCTCTCATCCACACCTTGATCTTCTTTATCAGAATCTTTTTTACATAAATCTATGTCGTCTCATAGAATATTATCCAATGAAGTTTATATATACAATTGTGTAAATGAAAATGTAAGTAGGAAATTAATTCCTCTCTCGCTCATTCAAAATTTCTTAATTTTATGTATAAACATTTTGAATTGTAACATAATATAAGTGTGTACTGCGTAAATCGTAAGTTACAATATATAGTTATTTTGATTAAATTAGTAAATCAAGTTACCAAAATAAAGTATAAAAGTCTTATTAAATCTTGTTTCCAATTTGTTTATTTTAAATGTTCAATATTTTAAAAATAGTCAAATTGCATGGAAATACTTTAATTTCATATCACAATTAGTTATCTTAACATAAACAAAAATTCTAGGTAAGATATGTATTGAGTCAATCTTGTAATATACGTATTATCTATTTGTCTAAAAATAAAGTACATAATCATGACACATTTAATTCTCTTAGAAAATATTGTCTTAAGTCTTTAAGTCACCTAATTATAAATTATAAATTCCTTTAAGTAATCTCAAAATAGTCTTTTCGAATAAGGTATTTTTCTAAATCGATGTTATTAAGTCCCAAAATTTCTTCCACTGAACATCCACATTTTATACGGAGCACACTGAGTAAATAAATCTCAGCTATAAAGTATTACATAGATAATTAATTCTTGGAACGACGAGAATTAATTATCTATGTAATACTTTATAGTTGAGATTTATTCACTCAGTGTGCTGGGATCTGATTCCTCTTTTCAGAGGAATCATGTCTAACAAGATCTGATTCTCACAAGGCATGTCTAACAAGATCTGATTCCTCTTTTCAGAGATGCCATTCCATTGTGGAGTCGCACAAGGCATGAGCTGGGATAATATGCCATAATCTATCAGATAGTCACGGAACTCATTACTCAAGTATTCTCCACCTCGATCAGATCAGAGTGTCTCAATACTTTTGCCAAATTGTTTCTAAACTTCATTTTTGAATTACTTGAACATGAGATACACATAGTCATATCTACTGAGCTCATTAGTAAATGTGATGATGTATGAATAGCTGCCTCCAACGGTAATATTGAGAGGCCTGCACACATCCCTATTAATGAGTGCGAGAAGGTCACCGGCTCTCTCTCTCAGCATCCGGTGAAAAGTGCTTTGGTCATCTTACCCAATAAACAAGATCCATATGTGTCATGTGAATCAAGGTCAAATGACTCCAGCATTCCTGACCGATGTAGCTTGGATATGTGTTTCTCATTTATATGGCCTAACCTACAATGCCATAGGTATGTTTGGTTCAAATTGTTAGGTTTGTTGCTCTTGGCGGATATGTTATAGACGGTCCTGTCCAAGTCAAGGACATACGACCCATTGGTCAATGGTCATGTTGGCATTAACATAGAAAATGTTTTTTTGTAAACAGAGGCGGATCCAGGAATTTGGGGACATGGGGTCCCGTTTTTTAAATTGTAAACATATATTTATAGTGCGTCATTATTCATACACTATAAAAAATAAACAAAAAAATTTACTATTTAAATAAACATTCAAAATATGATTCTGAAATAAAATTTACTAATTGGATATAATAATTTCTTTGTCAATAGCCTCAATTTAGAACAAAAGATTTAGACATATTCATTGTCTTTTTTATCACACTTTAAGAATGGAAGTAAATTGTAAAAAGAATACAAATAAAATGAAAATTAGATTTCTTTACGAAAAAGATACTTGTAAAAAGACCAACAAAAATTATAAACTGTTTATATGCATTAATATATTATATATACCCACAATTTTGTGAATAACCGGAAAGAGTACAAGTTTGAAGTTTTAATGTTTTATATTCAAAATAAATTAAAACATCGAAGTACCTTTTTTTAGGTTTTCTTGTAACAATGGGGAATGAGATCAACATTGTATTTCTTGAGTATTATTACTAAAGTATGAGGATAGAGGTGATTTTAGTATATTAGAAGTTCTCATTTCATTTTCCAACTCCACTAAATTTCAAAACCACTCATAAAAGAATTAAAATAAAAATATTTAAATAACACATGCATTTGGACAGTTTGGTGGTCAAATGAAAAGAATTTTAATAATTATTTAATACTTAGGGTCCGTTTGGTACCCAGAATTGACATAATTGAAATTAAATTGGGAGTTAAAATTCTATGAAATTGAATTCTCCAATTTCATTTCATTCTTGGCAATACTAATTCGAAACCCACATACTTTTTGCTACTAAACAGTAGAATTGGAATTGTTATTCACAATTCCAATTTTATCATTTGAATTTCATGTATCAAACGAAGCCTTTAAATTAAAACCCTAATACATTAATCCGTTTTAATACAAAAAATACTACCTCAAAAAATTCAATAAAATATATTGCATTAAAAATGTTCTTTTAGAATACTTTAGGATAAAACTAGTGCATCACCCACGCGATGCACGGGAAGAAAATTATTAAAATTATTAAGAAATAACAAATACATAAATATGTATAAGATTTAATAATATTATAATATTTATTAGTTTAGGACAAAAAACTATAATTAAGGATGTATGATGTTGTAAACAAATAATTTTTTATTAAATTTTGTATTTATAAGTATATAACTCTTGAGTCAAAATAACATAAACGTAGTTAAAATAATATATCGAGTATGAAATTATAAAATAAGAGTTCTATTTAGTTTAAAATAAAAATCAATAAAAATCTCAAAATTGTGTGCGAGGCAGATATGATAGGAAATCATTTCATAAATAGTGTTTTGAATGGGATAATGACACTAATTGATTTCAAATCGGTAACATATGTTTTACAGATAGACAGCTAGTACTCAAATGATCCTTGGAAATCTTTGTGTCGTGACTATTTTTGTGTTAGAAAATAAAGAAAATTAATTGTGATATATGATATCCTTCAATAGAAAAATCATATATTTGTGAATATATTTTTTATTACTCTGCACATTTTAAATTTAATCAGCAATGTGCAAAATAAAAAATTTGGAGTACATTTTATGAGATTTTTTTCATTTCAAATCAATAATAAGTCAAGATGTAAATGAATATGTTTTGATTATTTTATTCATTTTAATTGTATAAAAAAATTCTTTGTAAATTAAATTGACAAAATGCACATGTACATCTTTTAGATAATGAAAATTTTAAATCCACTACAATTTGAAACTTCACAACTTGTCGGCTTTTTTTGTCGTACTACCCTCGTCACACAATATTTGTCTCGTTGGACTTTATTGAATTAAATTAAATAAAGCTTTGAACTTCAATTAGTCTCTATTTATATAATATAATGTTATAACAATATAAAATTTTGAAAATTCTCAACAAAATAAATTCAATAAAAAAAATTTCTACGTCCTTTGATGTTTTTGCAGAGAACAAAAAGAAGCCACTATTGTGTCCCAAGAAAATTGTTTACACCTCTTCTTGACCTCAAACTCTCCTCCCCTTCTGGATAATGAGCCTACTCCTTAACAATGCATTGCGTGTAGGTAACTTTGGAAGGCTAACACCTTTAAGAAAGATCATAAAGTCAAGTTTTGTAGCCTTAAAATAATAGCAATATATAAATATATGAGGCGAGTGAACATGAAGTGCTCAAGACTAACATAAAGTCACTTGAAAACCTAATATCTAAATTATGAAAGACTTATTTGTTCTCCATTCTGGAAATCATATTACCAATAATTCCCACCATACTCTAATTAAGATAAGAGATGTCTTTTATGAAATCTAATGGTAACAGGACAAAAACTCTTAAAGCATAAATTTGGTAGAAAAAATTACAACATGATTCGGCAATGTATCTCTAAACAAAATAAAACTACACAAATCAGTATTGATGGGGAAAACAAAGACATTTTAAATTTAAAGATATACTTTTACAGAAATCTAAGCAAAAATATAGCAATATAACGAACTGTAGAAAATTATATCACCAACATTTCAAAAATAAGATCAAATGTAGATTTCTAGCTTTAATTGTTCAAACACTGATAATCGAATAGAATTATTATTTATTTGGCGTGAGATTAACATCAAAATATCAAAATCAAATTTTGAACATTGGGATTTGATTGTAAGGGGGCAAGGTGTGCATATCAATCTCAAATCAGGAAATAAAGTATAAAATCAGTTTCAAGATTAGTGATAACAAACGATTTAAGTTTAAATATCCTCGTCAGTACGACCTATACTCAGCTCCTAAAGACATAAAGCAAGAATCAGGCACATTATATGCAAAACGTACCGGGGTAAATGGCTTCATCACAGGAACCTCGTCAGGAGCATTTTCATCACTTCCATGATAGGAATGTATTTAGGTCTGTGACGAAGATATTGTGGATAAATGCTAAATGTGCTCGCACTTACCTCATATAATTCTAAAAGTATACATCTTCACGCACTTTAGAAGTTAGCTCCAGCACCAACTCTAGGTACTTCAACTTGAAGTGTTTGGTAACAAACTTAGGCAGCATGAAAAAGCTTTCTGCAACCCTTGGCTCCACACCTATACTTCCATCCATACTTTTCATCTTCAATTTTTCTGATAAATGGATCTAAAGCTTAAACAGCAGCCGTATTGATCTTATCATTTGCAGTCATGAACTCTAGAGGATCCTGTCCATTTAGCCTTCATTGCCAGTGTGAGTCTAATTTACCCTCCATAGAAAAAAAACTTAGTTCCTAAAGACAAAATCAGAGGCAAGAAATTCAACTGAATGGAAAGAATTGAAAGAAATGTCTTATGTTGGTGATAAGTGAATGGATCTTAAATGTTTTATACTTTGACATAGAGAGTCACAAAGAAATGAACCAAACACTCCAAAGTATAATCTGCATTTAGGTCAATGCAAGCAAAGAAAATTACCTCCATTGCCTCCATACGTGTTTTGTGCATACTTGTCCAAGCCGCCACCATCCTCACTGTTATGGCCTCTGTCCACCTTTGCAGGACCTAGGGGTTTAAATCTGGATACCCAAAATTATAGTGTAAATATAAAAAATTAAAAAAAAAAAGAAGAAAAAAATGATACCATCACTCAATCTGCCCTTCACCTCATTTATGCCATATGTTGCCTCTCAGGGTCCTCTGCTCATCACCATCCATGGCAGAGTCCAAACCCGAAGTCTTCAAGTGCTTCAATTGACATCATCTAGAATCGTCCAGCAGCCCAAGTCGGCAATGCATTAGGCCATCACCGGAAGTCATGCTAAAACATGTCCGTTTCAAATATGAAGTAAATTGTCTTTAAAAATTTGAGAAACTAAAGGAAAGTTTTAAAGATGAAAACAGAATTTTTTTTGGGATGGAAGACTAATATAACATTATTTAAGGTGTGTATATATGTATAAACTTGTATCCATATAACGATGGATTAAACATTCCTCTTATTCATTTTAGCATCATAGTGGTTACCATCAAATTGAGCCCCTTCTTCCATTCATAAACTTGTATCTATATAACGATGGACGGAAGAGATAAAGTTTATCATAAACTTGTATCTATATAACGATGGATTTAAGATTCCTCTATATTTTTTTTCTTACGGACACTTTATTGTAGGCCTCTATACTATATCTGACTTGAATTGGTACCATCTTCCAACAATTTATGTTCTAATGGTATTTCTTATTCATATTTGCAGAACCATCTAAATAATACCAATCTTGCGGCATTATCTTGTTTTCACTTCAACTACTTTTTTTGTTGTCACTTTGTATTATGCACTTAACCTTTTGACTTTTAGTTTAATTTATTTCCATTCAATTGTGGATGATGGTTGGGTGGAATTTCAATTTGTACAAATATATAATCTATGCAGTTTTTATTTGTCATTAAATCTTCATCCCCCAATGAAAGATATAAACATCAGTCAAAACATAGAATGGTTTGAGATCATATGTTTCCTGCATTGTATGAATTCATCATGAATTCATGAGCACTAAATTTTACTTTCTCTGTACCATAAAACTTGTCTACTTTAGAAAAAAAGAGAGATTTAAAGAATGTGCAATTTTGTGTACTTACTAACCATGAAAAAGCTTATATAAAAACAGAAATCTTGAATATAGAGTAAATAATAATGACTACTAATTAAAATTGTGTATTTTTTGGGGGGATAAATGACTGCTCAAACTCTTTCAGAACCAGGGGTTTCTCATTGAACCTTAGCCGCCAAAGAATTTCTTAAATATTAAGGTACATAGCAGCAAATAATAGTAAGCTCCATACTTTATTAGCTTGATTGATCTTAATTAATGTATACTTCAGGAAAATGGATACAAACAAAACCCAAACTTGTTTTGAAGGGAAGCTTCAAAATTGTTAATGAAATAAATATGAAATTAAAATGGAGATATATAGGAGTATAACTGAAAAGAAAGTAAGTTTGAAACCTAAATTCTGAAAGAAAAATAAAGAAA